TTTAATTGAGCATTTTTATTTTCTCTCCTTTTTTAGTATATCAATTATACTTCTTCTATACTTTTAAAAATCAATTTCCTGAGCTAGAGATATAGCTCAGTGGCAGAGTGCTTGCCACTTACATATAAGCATGTATGTATACACATATGTGTATTTATTTGAATACACTTGCTATTATTATTTTGAAAAAACATACATCAGATCAATTAATTGTTTTACATTTACTCTCTGTTGTTCTTTCCTTCTTTATTTAAGTTCTAGTTTCCAACACATTATTTTCCTTCTCTCTGAAGAACTTCATAAAATTTCTTCCTGAGCAGGTCCACTGTTCACAAACTCAATTTTTGTTTGAGAAATTATTTATTTTCACTTTTGAAGGATACTTTTGCAGGACACAGAATTATTATAGTTTGTAGGGGTTTTTTTTCTCAACACTTTAAGTATTTCTTTCCATTCTATTTTGTTTGCATGGTTTCTGAGGATAAGTTGAATACAATTCTTATCTTTTCTATAGGCATCTTCTCTCTAGCACCTCTACAGGGAAGCTTCCTCCCCACCCCATCTTGTGGCTTCATTCAAGACTTTTTCTACCTTTGTTTTCCTGAGGATTGAAAATGCTATGGCTAGGTATAGAGTTTTTGGCATTTATCCTATTTTGTGGTTCCTGAGCTTCTTGAATTTGTGGTTTGGTAACATATTAATTTAGGGAAATTCTCAGTTGTATTTTTTCCACATTTTTTCTCCTTCTTATATTCCACTATACATATGCTGTAACTTTTATAATTATACCACTGTTCTTGAATATTCTGCTTTGCTTTTTCCCCCAGTCTTTTTTCTCTTTGCTTTTCAATTTTGGTAGTTAATATTAAGACAACCTCAAATTCATAGATTCCTTCTTCAGTCAAGTCCAGGCCACGAAAGTGCCCACCAGAGGTGTTCTTGGGTTTTGTTCTAGATTTTTGTTTTTAATCTCCAACATTTCTTCTTGAATCTTTCTTAGATTTTCCATCTTCCTACTTATATTGCCCAACTAATCTTGCATGCTATATTTTCCGTAAGTCTTTAGCATATTAATCATATTTTTCAATATACTCTGTGAGGATTGGGATGACTTCTGTAGGTGAAACTCACAAGTGTGTCTCTGCCATCCTCTTATGACTGGAGTTTTTAACTCTTAGATTTGTCCACATTGAGCCTCCAGCAATTTGTCAATTACAGTTCAGATTTTCCTACTTCTGCACTGGGTCCCTCTGGGGGTTCTGTCCACAAATTTCCGCTACTGTGAGCTATGTTATCCTGTATCTACCTGTCAATATCTCTGTTTTGAGAGCAGAGATTTGCCCTGCGACCTCCCTTCTGTGACAGAGCGATTACTGTTGACTTCAGCTGGTTCAGCATTTTGCTTGTTAGACTAGCGTGCCAATTCTGCTTCTTTTAAGCATCATGCAGCCCTCTAAACTAGAGATAATGGAACATCTAATGACAAAGGGGAAAACACATCAGCAATTTTGTGTCAGAATATTGTCCCTGAAAAAGTAACTGTTTCTTCTACCCTCTAGAAAAGATGGGTCTCAGTGCACAATTCAATGCAAAGGATTTGACTCAAAAGGAAGAAATAAAAGGCCTAGAACACCATGACAGCCAGCCTTCAGGGTTGCCCCTGAACCTCAGCAGGGCATCACATAAGGGGAGTGACCCATACCTTAGTGAAACTAAGGCTATTCATACTCACAGGACAAAATTTCAAGCATATGAAAGGGCAAACAATTGAAAAAATAAGTCTCCTTCCAACCCTTGACCCCTACCATACTAGCTCTCTCTTAAGGCAACATGGTAACCACATTCTTATGTCTCCTTAAAATACATCTTTAGAAGAGCGGTTGAGTGTACATACCTTTAAATGGCAACCTATTTTAGAAGCATATATTCTCCTGGGAGTTTAGGATTGGAAGGGACATATTTCAGTCATTCATTCATTCACAGCCTCCCTAGGCACTTCCCATTCCTGTGTAAAAATATTTCTGAAGATGAAGAAACACTTTATACTGTAAGGTAAGCTCATTCCCACACATACCACATACAGACATACAGGCATGCACACACACACTTAAATTCTGAATTCTGCTCCTCTGACTTTTTTCCTCATCAATCTTTGCTTTGACTTCTAAGGCGGGGAACAACAGGTGGTCAAATGCCTTTTGTCTCAGATAAAACCTAAAATATTTGAAGCCCTGGTATCTTGACCTGACCAAATAAACTGTTTCTCGTTCTCTTTCTCAAGTATGTGGTTTTAGGGAATTCAGTGCCATGAATCTTCTAAAGGCTAAACTCTCGTTCAGCATGCTCAAAACCTTTTAAGATAAACACTCACCAGAGAAAAATTGTTTCTCATGTGTAGCAGGTAAAGAAAAGGAGCAGTTTCTGTTACAAAAATTGATGACACTTATGAGATTTGCTTTGGGAAATACTAAAGTCTAGTATATGCTTACTAGTGTGGCATGCATGGAGGCTTTATCCAAAATGTTTTTGGCCAAGCAGAAATTTTGGTTTTACCTGACCCAATACATTTCTAAGATATAATGAAATAGAATTTGGGTCATAAAAAATCACCATTTGGCTAAAGTTTAGAAGAAGTTCAGAAAGAAAGGGTTGAGTTATGTGGGCTCAAAGGTGGCCTCTCATGATAGTAAATATACTTTGGGGCTTTAGGAAGTTGTTTAAACTCTCCAAGCCATAGTGTCATCATGCTATAATAAAAGGCTGTTATTGTCATCCCTATGGTGGTGATGTGGCAGTACAGAGCACCTGGGCTATCCTGGGATCACTCTCCACAGAGACTGTGTATGGAGTATCCTCTCTGCAGGACCTTATCTGTGCAAGGCTACTCTCTTTTGAAGATAGCGCGTTTTTTTATGAGTAATTTAGTTATCAATACATTTCAGATACCTGGCAAGAAGTACAAAATCAACCTGAACGTCACTGTTTATGTTAAAAGCTCAGAGAAGAAACTCAAATTTGATATAGGTGTCCACAGTAGGATGTTCAGCAAAATTCATTCTTCTTCATTAGTTGGAATCCATCTCATTATTGTGCTGTGGGCCTAAAAAGTGTCCACTGCCTCTTATGGTAATTGTTTTCAGAAAGTTCTGTTTCTTTCTTGCTTATTTATTTATTTATTTATTTATTTATTTATTTATTTATTTATGTCCAGAGGATTGAACTCAGGGACCCACTGGGTTCAACCAACCTAATGAGCCACATAGCCAGCCTGTTTTATTTTGAGACAGGGTCTCGCTAAGTTGCTTAGGGCCTTGCTAAGTTCCTGAGGCTGGCTTTGAACTTGCGATCCTCAGCCTTCCAAGCTGAAATTCTGTTTCTTGAGATTTGATATCAATCTGATCATAGTTAAAGAATATTATGACAAATGGCTCTATGAATGTTATTGCTTCATAGAGCTAGTAGAGTGAGAACTCTGAAGTCCTTACACATTATGTTCTCTTTGGGAACTCAAGAGAAGAAATTTCTATGCAGTCTTAAAATCAGCTATAGCTTACATTGATTTATGTTTTAATATATGGGCATTATGACTTGTGGCAGTGATTATATTTCCTTAACAGTAAATGTGGTTTAAAACAAAATGTGGTCCTCATTTTGTAAATACAAAGGACTTTACTGTCAGCATAGCATTTATAAGATTCATTTCGTTTTCTATTTTATAAGATTTTAATTTCTATTTACTCTTGTGATCCCCGTTTGCCTTTCTATAATATTCCCCTTGTCTTTGTGTTCCTTTGCAAGAGGGAATCAAACACTTGAGTTCAAAGTGTCAGTGGTTATTCCATTTGTTAAAACAAAAGAGCATATTACTCTAATTCACAGTAAAAATGACAGGTTCCATGGATAGTAAGGAGCCCTGTGCTCTGGTAAAATGTCTACCATTCAGGATGCCAGGTAAGAAGCTGAGGAGCATTTTCCTGGATGGTAAGTCAAGTCGAGAAGTTACTCTGCTGTAGCAACAAGAAAGGCCTTAGCGCCACGTACTTTTAGGCTTGTGATTGCTGCTAAGACTAAGCAGTCAGAGTCCGACCAGGCTTGAGGGTTAGCAAAGAGTCCTGTGAGAAATGAAGAGATCTGGAGGCTGAACTGGCCAAGGCGAGAACATTTCTCCTGTAAGAGAAGAAGGAGCACTGGAAGTAGGTTGGACTTTGCTGAAGGATTTTAGCGGAAGTTCCTTCAGTTAGAAGCAGCTTAATTTCTTTTGGCTGGCTCAGGTCAGTGGGCCACCTAGCCTCTGTAAAAGTATTTTAATTGTTGTTTGTGTCAAGTCTTTATTCCAAGCGCTGGACTTTCACGAAGTAATCTACCTCGCATATTTGCTTTATATAATGTGTATCCCTGGCTAGTTACTGGTGTGTATATACGAAATTCTGTTAGTGCGTTCCTCCCTCCGTACTCATGCATTCACTCAACAAACATTTATTGAGTCTCTTCTCTGTCCCAGGAATTGGTTGCTTTGTTTCAGACGATTTCGAGGGTGCTCGATGAGATCTTAAGGACCCTCGGACTTCAGAGCGCCACTTCAGACGTCTCGCACTCCTGCCAGCCGGAGAGGGTGAGAATACCTTCGCTGCTAGGCCAGCTTCCGCTAAGATTCCCGGGTGAGGGTGCGGAGGGGGAGTTGGAGACCAGAATAAAGGGCATCTTCTCCATCCGTACCACTACTCAAACTTGGTTCCTGGGTTCAGACAGTTCGTCCGGAGCTGGTCCTAGTTTGCTTAGTAAACTGAAAGAAGGGAAAGGAAGACGGGGACCTTAGACACTTTTGGCTGGTTCCATGAAGGCTAACCCCTCTACCTAGCCTTGTAAATCAGAGTGGACCAGGTACGAAGGGGAAGCGCAGGGAACCCTCCACTCAGAAATTAACTCCCAAGTACTCGCGCTTCCCTCCTGCTCGCCGCCCGCCTCCCGAAGGAGCGCTCCGTCCAATGGGGCCACAGCCATCCACTACCACCTCCTGGACGCAGCCTGCTTTCGATCCTTGCTGCGAGTTCTTCCTCCCTCTGGGCATTCTCCTCCTCCTCCGCTCCTCCCGATCCCTCCTCCTCTGCCTGGTCCCTCCTCCTCTCGCCCAGCCTCCCCACACCCCGGCCCGCGCAAGCTAGACGTCTGGGCAGCTCCCAGCGCAGCGCTGCAGCCTCCGCCTCCTGCACGGTGTGCGCGCCCGCGGCCAGGGCGGCCTGAACAAGTCTTGGCGGCTGCCGCCGCCCAGACCGGACGACAAGCCACCTAGGCGTCTGCCGGAGTCTCTGCCTCATCGCCGCCACCGCCGCGCACGGCCGTCTGACTCAGTCCGGGAATAATTGCGGAGAGCCGGAGCCAGCTCCTGGGGGCAGCAATGCGACCCTCCAGGACCGCCGGAGCCGCGCTGCTGGTGCTGCTAGCTGCGCTGGTATGGGCGAGTTGTGCGTTGGAGGAAAAGAAAGGTAAGGGCGTTTCCCGCGACCCCCCGCACCACTCTCCAGAGCGCGCTTCTCGACCCGCAGTCAGCCCCGCCCGCGCACCGGCGCACCGGCTCGGCGTCCTGAGCCGCCCGCCCGCCCCTCCTTTCCTGTTTCCTTGAGGATCAGCTGCGCTTCTGGCTGGGACCGTGGGAGGAACTGGACGTTTCTTTTCTGGGCTGGGCGAGTCTGCTAAGACCGGAGGAAGGGAGACGCAGGGCTCAGGGCGGCGGGGCTGCGAGCGGGTTATGGGAACCGCCGCTGGAAGCGCCTACGTACCCGACAGCTCCCAACTTACTTTTATCACTTTCTTGCCCTCCTGCGCTGGGTCGGCGTCTGCGGGCGAAAACTTGGTGCGGGGTAGACGCCTGTTGTTGCAGCACGTGTGCCCGGCACTGTCCGCTGGAGGGCCGTGGTGACGCTGTAGGGCGCTTGCAAAAGGGCTGGAGGGTCCCATCAGCTGAGTCCTAGGGAAGTAGGGAGCTGAGAAAGGACTTCTAGGGTAGGGGACTTCCCGAGCGTACCCTCTGCAGCTCCTTCCTCCTCCTCATTCTTGGGGTTAAGCCACGTGCCTCCCTACCTAGCGACCCAGCCCTTCACGCTGATCTCTGCAAACCCATTTCCCGGGTATGGAGTTGCATCAATGACCTGGGAGGCTGGAACTCCTCTTCGCCCCAGCGAGCAGGAGGGAAGGCGTGGTGCTGGTAGTTTCCTTCTCTGAAGAGCAGTGAGGAGGATCCGATCCGCCCCCTCGCCCTATGGGAGAGGACCCCAGCCACAAACCAGGTGCGCGCGGCTGGGGGACCAGGGCTCGCTGCCTGACTGAAGCTCCTTTTCTGATGCCCATTCCTAAGACCCCTAGGGTGTCTTTAAGGTGGCTGCTTGCCGGTACTCCAGAGGTTTGCCCACGACCTGTAGTGCTTCGACTGCATCTCTTAGCTTTACAGTGGACCTGGACCAAGATGTATGGCTGGCCGCTGTGCAACACCTGAGTCCTTATGCCAAACTCCCTAGGCGCGAACTCATCCCGCTGGATATCCGAGCCGTGTTTCAAATGGGGCTCACAGCAAACTTTTCTTCTCATTATCCCAAGATTTAATCTTTTGGATGTTTCATTTTGCCTTTTTGGAGAGTTTGACATTAGGACAACTAAAATATTAAACTTAATTGGAAAAAATAATAAAGGATTGATGTCCATGGTTTTACTTGTATGCCAAATGTCCAGACGGAACATGAGCAAGTTTGGCTTCGTGACTGCCGACCATAAACCCACTTGACACAAGAAACATGCCTCAGAAGGTTTAATTGCACAATTTCAAAATAGGCTCAGGTTCCAAGAATCAGGTCCCTGCTTGCTGTTGATGTCATTGGCATGGGGAGTTGGGGCTTTGGTGATGAGAGGGTTTGTTGGAGGAGGAGTAAGGCATAAAAGAGTGGTTTCTAACTTTGCTATGTAGGGCACTCACCTGAGATTTGGGATTGGAGGGAGTCGACTTCCCACCCTGAACATTCTGATTTCAATGGTTGTGGGTGAGAGGGGGCTATAGGATTTTTCAAAGCCCTTCAGGTTGGGGAGCCAGGTTTGAGAATCTTGGGCATAGAAGAAAGATTGGTAGTCTCCAGGGAGATTTACCTGCCAAAGTAAAGAGCTCCTTTGGAACATCTGGAGTTTTAACAATCTTGCAAAATACAGGCAAAGGGGAAAAGACAGGGTGTGGCTTCAATAATAAAGGATTAGTCTTTTTTACTAAAGGAGCCAATGGATGGTTTTCTCCCCCTTACATTAGCCTGGAGGGCTCCCCTCCTCCCTGCTTGTGATGGCTAGGACAGTGGTCTGGAGTGCTCCTGAGATACTAGAGTTCTCTTAATAAAGTAAGGTCTCTCTATCTCTGACAAAGGGACCCTCTTTATTTTAAATTAAGCTCTTAGAGCCCCTGCAGAGCTCCAGAAATGTGCCCAGCTCTTTGATGTCACTCTTTGAACACTAGGATTAACCATTGGAGATTTGTGTCTGAGAAAAATAGAAATGCCACTGAATTTTCCTGTTTGTTCTGTATTCACTTAAAACAGAATGCTCCTGAATAGTAAACAAATTTCATTCCACTAAAGCCATATTCAAAAGACCACATCTGTAAGGAACAAATTATTAAAGTATGAGATGAAATCTTTCTATACAGGATCTATTAATTTTGTTCAAGAAGATTTATTGGTTTTAGTGAGTTTTTTTGTTGTTGTTACTGTTATTGTTGTTCTAAGATATGGTGTCATCTGTACTAGTTGCTTTCAGACCTAAGACCAGACACGGTTATAAGTGTCTTGTTAATCTTCACTTCAAGTGAGGTGAGTGCTCTATTTATGGGGAAACTGAGGTACAGAAGAGTAAAGTTATGAAATGATTTTTCTACAGCTAGTAAGAGGCAGAATCAAGATTCAAATTCCCATAACTCTAAACTGCCTGGTTTCAGGAGAGCCAGGTCAGATGTGTGTGTGAATGACTAATGTCGGATGATGAAGAGGAAAGGTACCAGGGAGCAGGCTCATTAAGATGGGCCCCTTGTCTGAAGTTTCCAACAGACGCCTGCTTGTTCAGTGGTCTGCACTCCTGCTCAGGGCTTCTCAGTCGTTGTTCTGGCTGCCTTTCATTGGGGCAGCTCAGTGGCCAAATCAAAGAGTGAACCAACATGGAGATTGCTTCAGAGATGTTGAGCAAGACACTCTTGCAAAACAGGCAGGTAAAGGTGCTACTCTGGAAGAGATCCGTGGTGCATTCCGAGGACAGCAGGTATTCTCAACGAAGTGAGCTTTGTAGAAATGAGCTTGCCTTGGCCCTACTTCTGAGAACACTCTGATTCAGGAGGTCTGGACTATATTACAGGGGAGAAAAAAAAAAAGCAGGAATTTTGATGGTATCTACGGCAAAGAACCACTACCCCTCCTTTCTGTAGAGGAATTAAATCTTGGGAAGTCCAAGAGGTCTATTTTCTCATTCCAGCTCTGCGTGAAAGTGGACACTTTGAAGCTCCAATATCCTGAGTTCTAATTTCTGAATTCAGTGAATATGTATTGAGTGCACAGAATATGCTAGACATTGTGAATTAAAAGGGGGATAGTCTTAATGGTTTTTACTATTGTCCAGAGAAGTGTGATTCTTTAAGCAACTAATTAAATATTAGTAACTTGCTTTTCAAACCCCCAAAGGAGACCACCAGCCTGAGTGTCTGTAGCAATGAGTATATCCACACTGATGTAGCACAGACTAGCAGATATTGATCCAATATGGTAACACTGCTTTAAACAGTCATTCTGGTTTCACATATTTAATTTCATAATCCATAATTGTTCAAAATCTGTTGTACTGCAAAATTACTCTCGGTCCACGTGACAGCACTAACAAGTTTTGAAATGTTTTTAGAGGTAGTATCAATAAAATGAAAGATGCTGTTTAAAAAGAAAATATTCTTGTTTTTTTCTCTGAGGTAAACTTTGGGACTATCAGCTATCGTCCGAAACTTTTTTTGACAATAGTGAATAACTCTAATATTAAAGGCAATTAATCATTATGAGGAATTAGGGGAAGGTAGCCTCAGGCTTGTGTCCCTGGTCCTGAAATGGGGATGGGATCAGAATGTTCAGGACCTTCAGCCTGTCCAAGGAAGGACCCACCTACCAAGTAATTTGACTCTTACCATGTTGCTTGCTGTGAATGTGCTTTATGTGTGTGTGTTTAATGTTGACTTAGTACTATAGAATGCTCTTACTTATAGTTAGGCTTTACTAATAAGAAAAGTTCAAGATTTTAGAATAAACACTACCCATACATTGTTTCGCTGTGCACACATTTTCCTCTGTAAAACAATTTTAAAAGCTAGATTCTGTCCTCAAGTTCATAGTAAGTTCATTCTGTTTTACTTTCTTCTGTCATTAATGGACATTTGAAATTATGGTAAGAAACATTTTAATTCTCAGTTAATTATTACTGGTTTATTCTTTAACAATTGGCACATACAGAATAGAGTATAGCTCTTGGCTTGTTCTCCTAGCCTATCCCCGTTGGACATCACAGTGTTTTCTCACACCTTCTTTTCATTTTGTTTTGAAAAGGTTGCCTTTTCTAAGAAAGTTCCACTGTTGACCCTATGGACAGTGTCTCAAGATTGTCAATCCTCATGTCGGTGGGCACAGTCAATTAGATCGAGCTCAAGAATTATTAAGAATTATTTAAATAATTGGTTTGACTGTGATTTTCACTTTTCATGGACATTTGGTTAAGCTTCCTTTATATTCCCCCTCCCCCGCATCTAGGAAGTTTGCAAGGCCAGCTGGGAGGCTAATTGAATCCAGCCAGTAGTGGGGGTGTGTTCACTAAGACCCGTTAGAAACCAAGTGCTGGATTTATCATTTTAATCTCAGAAGGCACTGAAAGGCATTGAAGTACAGTATCAGATGTCTGGCCCTGTTGACTGGCCATCTGTGAATTGCATATGCTTAGGATGAATTTTACTCATAGCAATTTCAGCAGCTTGCTTTAGAAAGTAATATGTGAAAGCTCTCACAGAGGATAGAATGTCTCTCTTTCCTCTAAGTAATATCATTCTGGTGGATTCTCAGAGACAGACCCAGAGTCCAAGTGTCCTTTCTGATGACATCGGCAGCTTCACATTTACTAGACAGTGGAATTACAGTTTAGGGGACTAATAGTACATCACCCTAAATATAACCACGATTACACTCTTGCCAGTGGACCAGCATATATGGCCCGATTTAGTATAAATAATTATGTAAGTTAACCACCATTGTTTGTCCTTTGATTGTAAGGGCGAATATTGGCCACTATTATTACATGGGCTTTTACTTGTATTTTTTTTCTTTGTTTTTGGGCCATGGTGAGCAATTCACACTGTTCTATCCATATTTTGAGATGTAAGAATGAATCACAGTTGATACTTGCCCATAAGTATTTGGAAGTCAGCAGAAGATCGAGTATG